TATAAGGATTATTCTTACTGGTTTTTGTGTTGTTCATTCAGAAATGCTTATACTTGAATTTTTTTGCTTAAATTTTCAATTATTAAGATATTTTTTTTAAATGCGAAAGGATTTTTTTTTTTGCTCAATGAAATTGTTAATTCTTGCAGTTACACTCCTTGGTTTTGTTATAATTGATATCAATAAAAATATATGAAAGTTGCATTACCTTTGCGACATAACACAGCAAGCATGTATTTTCATGCTGTTTAAAGGTGTGGATTTTCAAATGTGCTAATTGGCTATTTAAGAACTGTAAATTTGAGGTATTTTTAATTAAAAAATGATTAAAAAACAAGTTTTATGGGGCTCCAGATATGATCTAACAACCATTCATTTGTATGCCCAAAACCATTAGAAAGAACAAAAAATTTTTAAAAATTATACCAGTTTATAAAATGAAAGAACAGAAGCTTTACCTAATTTAGCAAAAAGTTAAAAAACAAATGCTTTTTTAGCCCTAAAATTATTTTTTTTTTCTTAACCCACCGACCTCCCCTCTTTTCTGATTTTCTTACAACTCATACAGCTATTATCATTTGTAAGGGACAAGCTTTAATCTCACTATGCTAAAATCGTGATAACAACCTTTTTTCATCTTTCTGTGGCTGCCAGCCAATTCATACGTATTTACATATCTAACTCCTAAGATTTTTTTTCTAGATTTCTACCAACCAAAATTTTCATATCAGATAAAAAATACTACAATTTTAACTTTTAAGAAGTGAAATACACCATTTCATTTATAGGTAAGGTGACATATTTGTAAAAAAAATGAAATTTGGGTGTTAGATATGTAAATACATAGGAATTGAGTGGTATGTCTGTAAATCTTTTTTTGTTGTTGTTCTAACTTTCTCTTTTCAGATGCCCCCTCTTCCTAACTTTCATGCTGCACCTCATTCATGGTTTGTTTGATTCTCCTTTCATGTTTTCAGCTTAAGATTCTCTTGCTTAAAAGCAGAGTTATTAAATTTCTATTCCTAAATGGCCTTTCATACTCTTAAACACATTAATTTCTAATACATATATAATCCATAAATTTCTCACACATTCAAAACCTCTACCGCCAAAAGATTCTCACAAATTTTAGAGGCATTTACATACATATCACGTAATTCTAATGTATTTGCATTTCTAACGTCTAAACTTTCATAATTACACATATAGCACTCAAATCTTTAACATCACATAAAAAATAGCACTATTACAATATTACCACTTTCTACAATTAAAATACATCTTTTCATGCATAGGCTTAAAACATAAAGTGCTGTGCATGTAAATATGAAATTTTAAGTGTGAGATATGTAAATACTTAAGAATTGTGTGCTACATAAGTAAATTTTCCTAAACTTTATCCATACCACTAGTCCATTTGGTCCCAAAATCTCCACTTATCATATTAGCTTCACACGCTACTAGCACATTCGCTTATTCCACCTTGCAACTGACAGTTCTTGGTTACTTTCCTTCCATTAACTTTATATTACAGCATTAGCACTTCTTTATATTCAAAATCTAAGTTTTTCTGGTCCTATCTATTCGAATTCCACAATCTTCGGTATTTCTGTTTTTTCAACATAAACTATTTTTCATGCTGGGGATATGCTCAGCATTTTGTTGAAAATTATAATGGCATACCGCACAATTCTTATGTACTTATGTATCCAACACCTGCAATGTTCTATGACACAGAATGTTGGCCTTTAAAAGAGAGGCATAAAACAAATTGTTGCTGAGATGAGAATGTTTAGGTGTGGATGAGTCGCTTGACACTTAGGACAAAATGGGAAATAAATATATCCATGATAGGGTTGGTGTAGCTCCAGTGGCGAACAAGATTAGAGTGATTCGTCTTAGATGGTTAGGTCACATTAAATGTCGACCATCTGATGATCTGGTTAAGAGAGATGGTTTAAATTTGACTTATGTTAAGAAAGGCAGGGGTAGACCTAAAAAGACTTGGGCATATTGTATAAAAAATGATCTGAATCTATTAGAATTAAATGAAAACATGATACTCAATAGGATGGATTGGAGAATAAGGATTCATGTAGTTGACCCCACTTAGTGGGATAAAGGCTTATTGTTGTTGTTGTTATACAATTTTAATATTTAGTATATATCTAACACCTAAACTTTAATATTTAAATTCATAACACTCAAATCTTTAGCATCACATAAAAAAAATACCGCTTCTACTAGCTTTTTATTAGTTAAATGCACTGTTTTATGCATATGTTTATAGCACAAAACTTGTTGTAAATGTAAATATCGAACTTTAGGTGTTAGATATATAAATCAATAAGAATTATTATACATATGTAAATTTCCCAAATTATAATGGTTCTGCCTGGTGATTTCATTCTTGGAACTTCTATTGTTTCATGTTCCCGATTTGATTTCCTCATATGAAATCTGATTTTCCTGTTATTACATGTAGTCTTGCATATTTTTTTGTGTCTTTCAGTGTTTTTGAGCATCAATTCATAAAATGGAAAAACAGCATGTAATATGAATGTTCTTTTACAAGCTTTGGGTGGTGTTTGGTATGCTATTTTTTAGGCGGATTAATGTAAGAATTTAGTGTAAATTCACCAAACACAAATTCAATGCTTCTAAATATTACCATTGGCTAAATCCAGAAATTTCTCTGGTGTGATGGTAATCTCAGATTTAATAAATTCGATCTCGAGCTAAATTTAAGAGTGGCTTGCTGCGGATTTTCAAATCCTGAAAGCAAATGCCAGACATGTGTTTCGGATTTAATTGGATTTAATTGAATTAATACCAAGCACAAATTTGGATTGATATCATTGGATTTAATAAATCTATATCTATCGAATTTAGTAAATCCTATTTAACGTAAATCCAAGATGCAGCACAACAAGCCCTTAGGAATGATAACAATTGTTCTGTTAGAACCCTGATTTCTTATAGGATTCTAATTTTTGCTTTAAATTTATTTTTCTAGAGAAAAGTGAAGTTGTTATTCCGTTTTGCTTTATTCTCTTTTCCAATTTCTAATTTAGAATTATTTAACTTATGGCACTTGTATTTGATTAATAAAAACTGTAAATTTTAATTATGATATTGTTGTAAATTTTGGATTGTTGGAGTCATACAGCAATAAAGTGAAAGAAAAGCTGTTATTTATTGTTCTTCATGAAATGAAAGCTATCGATTCATGCTCCCGACCGAGCTTTATTCTACTTCTGGTTCAAGCCCAAGTAATTATAACTTTATGAATTGTATTATGTGGAAACAAGGGGAGTGTCTTAGTTAAACAACGTCATTCACTACACTGAAGACATTGGAGAATCTTATGGATTTTGTAGTTAATATTAATTTCTAGTTAGCAATGACCACATATTGGAATATATTTTATGTTTTTCTGGTATTTTAAGTAATTTTCATTATGAGTAAATGCATATACTGATTATTTCTTCATTATGGCAAAAAATTCCATTCTGTAATTTTTATTTTATTTTATTTTGCAGACCTGTGATTGACTTCAATGAGGTAACTCTTCACTATCTAGAGTGCATCCATGTACATATGGACAACACCAGACCAAAGGTATCAGAACATAAAACAAAAGGAAGATTTACATTCAGACCACTCATTTCCTATGTATTTACATATCCAACTCCTATACTTTTATTTTTGCATATATGCCGCCTTACCTATGTATGAAAAGATGTAGTTTAGGTGTTAAAAGTTAAAATAGTGGTATTTTTTATGTGATATGAAAGATTTGGATGGTATAGATGTAAAAAAAAAGTAAAGCTTAGGTGTTAGATATGCAAATTCATTGGAATTGGGTGGTATGTATGCAAAGGTCCCAAAAATTGTCACTTTCTTTCTCTGCCATCAGCTCTATTGGATTTCTCTGTACACCTTAGGCCCTTTCCCTTCAAACAAACAAAGAATTTACCTGCTTGCTCTCTGCTGTAGGCAATTACAGCCATTGGAACCGTAACCCCGCATCAGAACGATATGAAAGGATTCCAGACTCCTCTTACCAATCGAGTAAGCTTAGGGGCCATTTGGGATCAATTTTGTAATTTATTTTTTATTTTTAGTTTTTATTTTGTTTTGCTTTGTTTATGTTTTTATTCGAAACAATTATGTTTGACTATTTGATTAAGGTATGATTATTCTTAATATTCAAAACAGCTAAAAGTTGTTTCAACTATTTTCAAAAATATTTTAATTTGTTTTTTAAAATATAAAATAAAATTATGTGAAAAACATATTAAACTAACATAATAATAATAAAAAAAAACATTAGCTTGTGTTTCCTTACATCAATGTCGTTTTGATGGCTTATTTCAGATTCCAGGCATGAAATTTTCTGAAAATGAAATCCAAAAGATGGTCCTTGCTGTTTTCATGGAGCCAGCTAGCCTGTAAGTTCATGGAACATGCAAAATTCTGTAAATTACATTTTGTTTGTGTGAGAGAAATGATATGTTTTACATTCACTATTTTAAATGAAATTAGATAGAGAACTTCTATAAGATTTGGATAACAGTTGTTTCATCTTATTATAAGCTATATTACTACATTAATTAGCTATAAAGAATTTGTAATTGAGCTCAAACTTTTATTAAAAAATTGTCATGAAAATATGTTGCTTTTTGTTAACCTTCATTTATGTTTAAAGCAATATTATGTTCTATTTATTTGGAGATGAAGGTTTTTTTTTTATATTATGATATTTATGTCTCATATATCTAATACCTAAACTTTAATTTTTTACTTGCGTACGACCTTATCATTGTATGAAAATGTTTCTTCACTTTTTAAAAGTCAAAACCGTGGCATTTTTTATGTGATATATAAAATATTTGGGCGGTATAAATGTAAAAACTAAAGTTTTGGTGTTAGATATGTGAGTACATAGGAATT